AAAAAGGACGGGGGCGGACTGAGCCACAGATCCAGAAGAAAACAAGGAAGTCCTGCATGCTGCGGTTCTGATGCGCACATTTTTGCTGATAGTACAACTGGAATATCATTTAAAATGTCAGAAGCAGCTAATTTAATGGCTGTGAGGTCCAAAAAGGTGCATGTTTAATGCAGTTGGTTCGGTTAGAGTCCGGTCTGTATTCACACCAGAAGCAAACTGAAGCGAACCGCACCAGAGTTCGTTTGGAAGCGGACCGAGACCACCTCAAAAAGCAGGTCTCGGTCCGGTTGTTTGATCCGCACCAGAGTTCGTTTGGAAGCGGACCGAGACCACCTCAAAAAGCAGGTCTCGGTCCAGTTGTTTGATCCGCACCAGAGTTCGCATGAGTGTATTCACACCTGTACAAAAGGTCCGGACCAATGCTGGAAACTAACTCTGGTTCGTTTAAAGCGGAGCAAATTATCAGGTCTGAATATGATCTAAGAAACAGCCCATGTCCCTTGTCAAGTGGAAACCCCTCTCCACTTTCCCTGTGAACTTCTGTACTTCACTTCTTTGCTTGTTTTCTGTGAAAAAGCAAAGTGGGAGCAATTTAAGAATGAAAACAATAAAGACTATATGAGGGATGACAAAAATAAAACTACAAATGGCTCATTACTGCCCGCGACTCGGCTTCTATCATTTGTTGTAAAGAGCCGTTCAAAGATTCAGATTGTTCGTGAACGTCACATCTCTACCATAACTAAATTCAACCAACCTGACTGCCAGTTGGCTTGGGATCTTCCTGGACCTGGTTCCGGTCCTACACAGTCCTCGCCATCAGTTTTTGTTTTCATCTGCTCAGCTGAGCAGCTAGCTGGAGGTTCTGATCCAGGTGTCCTGGTTTCCCTCCAATCTTCATCACTGTCTTCATTGTCAGATCCAGAACCTGACATGTTTTCATCCTTATCAAAATCATCGCTGTCTTCAGTCTCTGAAGAGTCTGAAGCCCTCTCATCAGTGATTGGCTGTAAGTTAGTATTTGGACTCCGGTTCTTGTCTGGTTCTGGTCCTCCACAGTCCTCTCCATCAGTTTCTGTCTTCATGAGTTCAGCTGAGCTGCTGGTTGGAGTTTCTGTCTCTCTGTTGTTTTTAGTTTTGATCTGATGAAGCTGGAATAACTGAGGTTTCTCATCATCTTCACTCCTCACAGGAAGCTGCTCTCCTWCCTCGCTGCACTGGAGTTCCTCTTCCTCCTTCTTTATGTGGACGAGTTCTGGGTTCTGGAGTTTCTCTTCCTCCTCCTTCATGTGGAGGAGTTCTGGGTTCTGGAGTTTCTCTTCCTCCTCCTTCATGTGGAGGAGTTCTGGGTTCTGGAGTTCCTCTCCCTCCTCCTTCATGTGGAGGAGTTGTGTATTCTGGAGTTCCTCTCCCTCCTCTTTCATGTGGACGAGTTCTGGGTTCTGGAGTTCCTCTCCCTCTTCCTTCATGTGGAGGAGTTCTGGGTTCTGGAGTTCCTCTTCCTCCTCTTTCATGTGGAGGAGTTCTGGGTTCTGTTGGTCCAGATTGGAGCTGGACACACGAGGAACCTCTTCTTCGTTAACCTTCGACAGCTGCTGCTCATCTGCATTAAACAGAAGGACATCATGTTAACTGAGGTTTCCATCATAAAACAAGTGTGTTGTAATGACCCCAACGCCCTGTTCGGGTCTGTTATCCRATAGATAACACCAAGGTTATCTTAAAAAAAAGGCTTCCTCAGCATTGCATAACTAGTCTATTGACAGGTAGCAGTGATGTTTTGATATAAACATTTACTTCTTACCCTGGTCTCTGCTGACTTGTGTCTCCATCAGCTCCTGGGTGGTGGGAGCTGGCACACCGGTCGGCACACCGGACAGGACACCGGTCGGGACACTGGATGGCACACCGGTCGGCACACCGAACGGGACACTGGACGGGACACTGGACGGTACGCCAAATGGTACACCAGTCGGCACACCAAATTGCACACCGGACAGCACACCAAATGCCACACCGGATGGCAACCCGAATGACACACCAGACGGCACGCCAAATGGCACACCATCTTGACGTGGGCCATTTGGTCTCATGGAAGTAAGTTGAGGAAGTGCAAATCCAGTTGACCCTTGATTCTTTAAAATTGCCCTCTGAATTTCTGGGATGTAACGGTAGTCCTTTTCCTGCTTTATGGCATACAAACTCCATTTCCTGGACTTTTTATTGTACAGTTTGCGATATCTGAAATTAGATGTTAGATAAACAATGAAAACAGATCAAAATATTTATTTTCTATCCCTCTTTGGAGAAGGTAAAGTAGAAATAAGCTAAATAAATATTAACTTTAAACCCCCTTGCAGACGTCAGCTATGGAATGCACTTTTTACTGTGCAAATGACGACATTTACAACCCAACATTCTTTCTAATAATTATGTATATTACATACTCGATGGAGCCATCAGGCCTCCTCTTGGGTGGTCTGTGAACATGGTGGTTGTAATCCAGGCCAGCCAGTAAGATTCTTGCTTCATAGACAGGAGGAGTGAAACTGAAGCGCTTGCTGGCATACATCAAAATGTGATTATGGAATGACTCCAGCTCAGCAGTTGACCTGCAAATTCAGTGAGAACCATCAGATTATATAGATTCTTCCTCAACAGTAACATAAGAACCACTGATTCAGAGGTGACATGACATGAAGAATAAGCATTATCATACCTAAAGTGCAGGTACTTGTGTACCTCCTTAAGCCAGCTTTTATTCAGAATGACTTCTGATAAAGCCTGATAGGCCACAGACCCCTTCTCTATCCACGTCTTGTCTTTGGGCTCCTCCAGGGGACCATCCTGACAGCCATCCAGAGACCACTCCTCCTCTCCAGTGACGTGGCGAAGAAGGCYACTCCACATCTCCTAAATTATAAAATGAACATAATTTAAACTTACTTTTACAACAATGTACAACTTGTATAGTGGATTAATTTTCCCACAATGTTTTACCACGTCAACAACACCTCAGTGCTGAAGTATTAGCAAAGATAATTACACCTGGTATGATTGAGTGAGTAATAGTAGTACTCACATAAAAGTCATCATAGTTTTCTGATGTCTTGCAGCAGAACCAGAAATGGTTGCAGATATCCTTGATCCACTGCAGAAGAACGGAACAACCCGTTTGCTGTGCTGCCTAAATAAACACAAATAAAGAAATTACAAATAAAAATATTGGAGAAAAAGATAAAAAGTTGACACTTGTGATGTTTTACTAAGAACAAGGTAGAACCTGATGCCAAAGCATCGACTGGTGTGCCTCCGCCTGCCCTAGACTCGTCTGCTTTTAAAGCAATGGGCATGCAGTTACCTTCTTACCTCTATTTTAGGGCTTGAATATTCTAAGAAGTATGAACACACATGGACAAAATTGTTGGTGCCCCAGTGGGCAGAGCCACAAAAAAAACTTACTGCATGTATCTTCTTGCCCAGGTCTTTGGAACCATGCCACATGTCTAAAGTGTGCAGCACTCGGCTGTCCTTGTATTTTCCTTTCACTGGGTCTTTTAAAAAACAGCACAACAGAAATGTAGTTAGGGGTATTGTTTTAATGTTAGATATAATCCTAAGAGGTCAAGCAAACACTATTAGTATTAATATAGGTGTAATGGACTTACCGAAGAGGGCAGATATCGGTGAAGGTGCATCAGTGCACACTTCAGCAAGTTTAACCTCCTGGTGGAGCTGGTCAAAACTCCTGATGAAGCCTTCCTTCTCCATAAACACAGGACTCCTCTGAGTCTCCCGTTTGTCAACGTTGACTATTGACAGGACTTCTTTGGTGTCATTCTCCATCACAGTGTAGGTGCAGTACTGAGCACAAACCCCAGGACTGTCCATACACCCATCAGCTATTAAAAGTAACAGTTGTGGAAGGAACAAAGATTTGTTATTGAGTGGGGGACAACAGTGTCGGCAGGGATGCATGTGAACACTGAACATTGCCTGGGGTTATAGAGTTATACTCACCAAGCACTACAACACTGTCCTTTGATTGCAGCCTGGAAATTACTTCTGCTCTGTTTTTATTCCAGAAGTCTTTGATAGCATCGACACAGTATGAGTCCTGGATTTTGAAGAAGGCTGACCGCTCCACCATTCCCATATTCATAAACCTGAAGAGCAACGCTACTTTGGTGTAGTTGTTGCCAGACAGGATTATATTTGACGCCAAAAGGAAGTCCCCGGCCTGGGTCCCATCTTTGAAAGTAGGCTGGGAGTTCCACTGCCATACACAGTGATTGTTCTGACAGATCTGGAAAAACACACATTTAGAAACAAATTTAGAATAAAATACTAACAATTACAATAACAAAATTGCAAATGAGTATAAATACCAGCAGGAGTACCAGCTTTAGAGTACCAGCAGGAACTCTAAAGCAKATGGAAAATTGTTGTCRTCGTCTGCTTGTCTCTTCTGTTCCCAAAACAACTGATTACAGAATCTGGATCTCCCCGACAACGGCCTTGGATGTGTTGACTAAATTCTTACTGGCTGGATGTGTCGACAAAAGCCCTGTCCCCCACCTTCCCCCCTCCTCTCGCCCGTTTAATCTGTTTTTCCAGAGCTGACTGAAAGCTGCACAGAAATGAACAGTTTCCATCAATATTTCTGAACTGTAGCTGCGCTGGTTTTGGGGACTGGATTCTTCGGGCCCCCTTAAACTCACTTACTCCTCTGGCTAATAAACTTGCTCTATGCAGAGGTTTTTTCATAAACACCATAGTGTGTCACAGTGTTGATATAATATGATGTTTTTTATTTTTTTCCTCATCTTCCCTTCCCTTGTGTGATTTTTCGGTTTTTCTTTGTTTCTAAGTTGGCACCACGGCAGGCAGCCTGTTACTGCAAATCCACTGTTTTGGGCTGCTGTAATGATCAAATTTCCCCACTGTGGGATCAATAAAGTTCTATCTTATCTTATCTTATCTTATCTTATCTTATCTTATCTTATCTTATCTTATCTTATCTTATCTTAAATGAACATACCCACTGCATGATAACAGCCGTTCCTCTGGACTTGGTCTGGATCTGGAACGGTCCAGGGGCCCGACACTCCACAAACGTCAGCGGGTCTTTCGCTGTGCACATGGGGATCGGCAGCACCAGACACTGTGCGAGTTGTTTCAAACAGGCRTGATACGTGATGGCAGCAGGGTGAACAATGATGTCATACTCCTTCTGGACTTGAAGGGTTTCTGGCACTGTTTGGAATTCGGTTGACTTTGAGTCTAGAGTGTCGTGGACTGTCTCCTCCGTGCTGATGGCCTGAAGAGCATCCAGAYGTAACATCTGCTGCATGGCATCAGCAGGGCTGGTTGAACACAAATAAAAAAATTAAAATAAATGCAATGAGAAAAGAACATAATTTTTATGAAAGACGATTTTTATTTATGAACTTACCGAACACAAAATGGGGGGATGTAATCCTCCTCCTCATCAAGGTCATCACAGTCACAGCCCTCCTCTATGGTTTCCTCTTCCTCTGGTGTTGAGATGTCTCTTGTGTCCTCATTTGGAGTCTTTGTCCTGTCCTCAGCCCAGTCAATACTACGTAGAAGGTTAAATATTAGTCCGTAACGCTCAACATGTCAGATCTCAGATTAAATATATAAAAATACGACTTACTTAGTGTTTTGAATGTGATTGAAGTCCCTTTCATCTATGTCACCAGGAATGTCCAGCGCTGTCACACTAACAACAACACAGAAAAATAAACATTTCTAAAAGAAATTTGCTGCAGATAYGATGCTCTAGGTTCAATACACACAATATATTGAATACAGACTTTTAAAATTTATTTTATCTACTTGTCTGACGATGCTCTGTGTTGAAGGCTCTGTGGATCTGTGTTCAACTACTCCACCTAGGCTGCACTGTCGAGCACAGATCCACTGAGAAACTTGCTGTTTCAGCAACATTTAATTTAAAAACTGTACCAAGGTTAAACAACTGTTCATAATTCATTTTAATAAACTACAAGTTAAGAAGGGCATATAAATTTCTCTTTTTTGTATGTAAAAAAAATTGAACCGCTAATGTATCAAACTGWATCGTGAATTTTCTGTATYGTGCATCCCTAATATAAACCCAACTGTTACCTGTCTGATTGCGTCTCACTACCTTTGATAAGTTACATAAGTTCAGTGTTTAGTCTCCTAACATTACTTATTACCAATACTGAAGAAACGTCTACATCAGAGGTGCCCAAAGTGAGCTTTGATTTGGCCCACTAGCAGTTGTCCTGGCTACTACAGTAGGTTGTATCCTCCTGTCTTATGTAGAAACACTATTTCTACATTGTCATTCCAACCATTGGTCCAACTATATAAAAAGGGCAAGACATAACTAATGCAATAGAAATGACCAAACTGACAAGCTTTATTTAAAAAAGTGGTGTTTTATCTTCATGTTACCTTGATGTGAGTGGAGGCTGTTTGTTCTTTTTCTTTTTGTTCTTGGAGTTCATATGTTTGTTATAAAAGAAGTTGTACGTTTTTTTTTCTGTAAACAATGTGATAATTGTCATGTAACTGTAAAATTTGTTTTAAAAAAATAAACAAAATTTGGAAGAAAAAACGAAAGTAGCAAGAGAGAAGCACCAAGCAGTCTGACTCCGCCCAGCRGCATTAATAGTAACCAGAATTGATCCTGACATAAAGAAAGTTTTATATGACTTACGTTGTTTCAAAAACCTGAACAGGAGTCTCCTCAACTTCACTGCCTTCCTCTGAGTCATCATCTCTGTAAAAAAAAAAAAAAATCAAATAACAGAGGTCAAACCAAAATCAGCTTTTTATCAAACATTGAAGTCTACTTTATATGTTGTGTCTCATACATCAAACATTATAATCTGTCAAATCAAACACAGAGAACTTGGAAACATTTGAAAATCATTTTCTTACTGATCTGAGGATGAGTCGCTAACATTACTGGAAAGGACTGGGTTTGGATGTGTGGTCTTCCGACGTTTGTTTGGTGCTGATGTAGCCAAACAACCACGGTGATACCTACAAGAAACCATACCAAACACAGTTTAGGGATGTTGACATTTCGTCAGCAGCTGCTGCCATTTTCATCCCAAACTGCTGTGACCGGATTGTGCAAGGCTGCTCTGTGCGTTCGCTTGTTATTTCCTCCTGCTTCGTTATYTCTACGAATTTTAACAAACTGCGCTGACATCGGGTAGTTAGCTGCAGCCTCGTCTTGGAGCTTTAAATTTCTGTCCATGCGTTTTGAAGAGACATGAAGAAATTTATTGGGGTTTGCTTACTGATCTTTAAACTACACATGGTATAGTCTGATTATAGGAGAACTGTAATAATCACTAAATGTGACTGTTTTGCTTAAATTGATGATTATATATAGATAGAGTGGTGCATTTTATTTGTGTGGTGCATTTTATTTGTGTACCTGTGCAACAATGATCACAGATACATGAAAGTACGTTAGAATAATGAAAACACAAGATTGTCACCAATAGGTCCAGTAGATCCTGCACTCATATGTTGACGTGGTTTAGAGCGCATCATATTTCCCGACTACAGATCATTTTGACCACTTAATATTAAAAATACGGACTATCTTAAAACTTGACCACATCTATATAATGTGTCTGGTTTATTTATTAATAATATACGTGATGCAGAAGGCTTCTGATCACAATAACAAATGCATTTACCACCTGAGATGCATCAGGGCATTTACCACCGTTAAAACAAAAACATGTATTTTGAAAGTCGTTTTAYACTTGCACTCACAGGTCGGCCTGCCTCAAGATCGTGCATTTATCACTTGGCCAGCCCCACTGGTCATAATGGGGTCATAATGCTGTTAATATGATCACTGTATACTGGGATTTAATATAGTGAGATACTATAGTAATTATTACATTATTAAGAGTGAAATTATTGCACAACAGTTTAACTTTATCTCTACTTTTCATCTCCAGATTGCTATTTAGGCATTAATAATCCCAACATTTGAGCAGTGTTAACATTCTGGACAAGTCTGTCCTTGTTCTGATTAGAAGTTGGTCCATCACCGACCAAAAGAAACATTTTAAGCTGTCCAACAATCCAAACATTAAATTTTGGTAACTGGTCCCCCCGTTGCTTACATTTCTTTTGTTTGCCCCCAAATACTCCCACAAACTGTTGCGCGAAGCGGCTGGATAAGCTCATCAGGAAGGCCAGCTCTGTGCTGGGATGCCCCCTCCACCCAGTGCAAGTGGTGGGAGACAGTAGAATTCTGGCAAAAATAACATCTCTAACAGAAAACTCCTCCCATCCAATGCATGGAACTGTAGCTGAACTGCAGAGCTCCTTCAGTGACAGACTGCTGCATCCTAAATGCAAAAAAGAACGTTACCGCAGATCATTTCTCCCAACAGCTGTTAGACTTTATAACCATCACTGCTCGCAACAATCATAAGCATATGACCTGATGCATCTCAGTAATCCAGGTAAAAAAATCAAAGGAAAAAAATTGTATAGGTCCTCTGGACTTTAAAGAAGAACCCGTCCAGAGGACCTATACAATTTTTTTCCTTTAATCATAAGCATACATGTTTGTGTTTGTACATCAAATAACTCTACCTCGAAATCGTTTCACATATAATAACTAGGGCTGTGAAATTAATCGAGTTAACTCTGATTAATTTTAGTGTTGCATGGGCATAGATTAAATTTTTTAAACACAATAAAAATTTACAATCATTTTACTATGGCTGAATATTGTATGTGGGTTTGTATACTGCAATGCACTCAGTGCATGTCAGGTCATGTTTGTAAATGAGAAGTGGTTCTCAAACAGTTTACCTGGATAAATAAAGGTTAAATAATATTTTAAAAACTCCATGTGTAACACATTATGTACAGTTTTTTTTGTCTTCTTGTGGCTTATTTTATTTTCACTGCACGCACCTAACGTCAGGCGCACACGTTCAGTTTCACCACAAAGTAATCTCAGTGGACATTGCTGTCATCAGATATGGAAAAGCTGCAAATAAAGTCTAAAACGAAAAATAAAATAAAAATAAAATAAAACAAACTGCAGTCATGAATAAGGTGTTTTTTTATTTTATATRTTTTACAGTTCATCAGAAGCCTCTTGGGAGCTTGACTCATCATCAAGCAACAATTAAAATAATGAAATTT